TTACAAAATAAGAAATGTCAGCTAATCCTAAGCAATTGGACATCTACATTAACAACACATACTTCACAATTTACAGAAATTTTAGATGAGAGGGAAAGCTTTTCAACAAAAGCGAACGAAATAATACTTTGTCAGATATTTAATCTACTTCCACAATTATAACAAATTTTCAACTGCATCATGTAACTTGATGATTAAAACTAAATGCACTGATCATCTTGTTAAAGGCAATCTTGCTGTATAAAGGTACAGAGTCCTTGCAAAGAATGGGGAAAATTAAATATATGTTTTAAGACTTCTCTGCAGAGACAGGGAGATAGCCTATGTCAATATTTACTGTTCTCACTAAGTTACTACAAAATGTTTGTTTTCATCTCTGAAAGTAATTTGCACAATGGAGTTTAGCTGACAAAAGATTTAACTCTTGAGACGTGGCAAGCACCTGCTTCTGTGCAAAGCTGGCAGAACACGTGGCTGCCTTGAATGCACTGGGTCTGGCCAAGTACAATTAACTCAGTAATACTTTTTGAAGCTGAACGTATTCTAAAGGGGCATAGGGGCAGAAGACACTTATATCATGCCTAGGACATCTTACCACGTATTTGCCATCATTACAAAATCCTGGCACAGATAAAATGTTTCAAAGGAAGATTCCTGACAGCCAGTCATCTCCAAAAGAGATTTTTCCACCCCTCACTCATTCAGGAAAGCAAAGTCTATGGGCAAAGTTCCTTTCCAGACCCCATCACACATGTGTTCCTCTGCTGGTCTAAGGCTGAGAGTCTGCATCCCGCCCTCCTGGAGCAGGGTGAACAGCCACGCAAACCGCTTCGTGCTGAACTGTGCTGTGGTCACTGCCTGGGGAAGGTGCTGGAGGGATGTCAGAGAGGAAATAGCACCAAGCACATGCACTCGAAAGTAAGCAGCAGCTTGGAAAATAGCAACAGCAAAAGAGAGAACGTGATCTGGCACAGGAAGGTAAGCACTGAGGCTCAGACCCACACTTCTCCTAGGCTCGACTGGGAGACCAGCATACGCTGTACTGTCTGCGGTGCAGCACAATCACCACGTAATTACACTCCACAACATATTTCTAAATGTCCTATGGTTTGGTCACTGCCACAGAGGAAATGCAAATATTCATCTTGCAAAGTGCAGGTGCTATCCTAAGGAGGCATAGGTTCCTCTTAACAGTATTAACCAGATTTTAAAATGGAAAGTATTTATCTCTTGAGATTCCAGACCTTAAACTTTCTGCAAGGCAGGCAGATGTTTCTCCATCCCCCAAGCTTCCATACCCAATGAGTCCTTGGAGAAGGACAGGAGGATTTAGCCTGTGATGTCAGTGCTGCTCTGCTGCTGGGGCTGCAGCTGCCAGCTAAGCGCTGCAGCAAGTGCCATAAGCAAGTATAAGCCAAAAAATTATGCCAGAAAGACCTCTGTGGATACCTTCTTTCCTCCTTGGACATCTCAGTATCTCTGTTTTCCAGACTGAGCAAGGGCTGTGACTGTGTGCAGATGCTCACGCTTTCCTCTGCCTGTCCCCAGTACATCCTCGCTTTGGTCTGATCTACCCAGGAGCTGGCAGAGAACCTCCTTCTTCTCTTGCTGCACGTAAATTTTGACCACAGTAGCTAATCTGTCTCATCATTTCCATATGAAGAAGAACTAGGAAAGATCCAGTCTCCTGGAGGAAAGTTTTATCTGTTAATATTACAAAGCTCTACATACCTCACCATACTAGAAATGGGCCTTTCTACAGCTGAGAAATGTGTTCTGTGCACCTTTTGTCCCTGCCCTTACTGAATGTACATCACCATGTTTATAATTCTCTGCACAATCTTTATTCCATCACCATCAGTGTTCACAAATGCAGAACAACTACTGGCAATTACACTGCCAACACAAGCCTTCAAGAAATGTACAGTGCATAATACCCCGCTACTTATATTTTTTTAATTCCATAGTACCTGGGGGTACCAGTCCATAGCAAAGGACATCTGGCTCTTATTTGTGAAAATGGTGGTTTGTGGGTTACGATTTTTATGTGCCAGTGGGATTTTGGAAGGAAGCAATTCAGCGCTTAAGCACATTTCCTTATTTTCATGTATGGCAGGGGAAATATGTATAGCTATATATGCCCAAAAAGATCAGGAAGATTATTTTTAAACTGAAATATTTGACGTTTTTACAGCATTTATAGAATTCCTCTTAAACCGCTGTTTTCCTTTTTCAAATTAGCATCAGTGTTTGTTTCCTGTGTGAAACTTGGTTTGTGTCTGACCAATTAAAGCGAAGATAAATGTGACAGGAAGCTATTTTGAATACAGTACCTCAGCTGCAGAACAGAGCTTCTCTGAGTAATTGAAATGAAAGTCAGTATCAGTAAAAATAAATTGCACAGTTCAGTTGTGACTGGAAAATTACTACTGAGATTGGCAACTTGAAGCAACCATTTCTATTACTTTCTATCGCATTAGGTAAGCTAATAAATACTTGATAAGAATAGCAGAGCAAGCTTTACTTTATTCCATATTGTGGATAGCAAACAATACTGCTAGCAAAAGATTGCCTTTAGGGCAGGAAAATGTTTTATTCTCTGCTCCTGTTCAGTCAAGAGTCTTTCTGCCGGTTCTGCCAACAAGGATGCCAATTAGTGTCAAGTAACATTTTGGTACTGCTGACGAGGTACAAAACACAGGGAGCACAGTATGGTGAAATGAATTTACTGTACTAAGAGACAGAAAAATACCTTTTTTTGGTAATTGGACCTAGAATTCAGTGAGATGGGGGGAAAAAAAGCTAATACCACTCCTGCCGTTTTACAGTTTATATCCCCAATTCTGTACCGGGAGTCTGAGCTCCCTTTTTAGAGGAAGACAGCATTAGATAAACCTTCAAAATGCAGAGATTGTATCCAGTTGCTAAGGTGAACCCCAAAACAGCTCTGTGTTAACTGTGCTAGTACTTTCATCAGTATTCCTAACACTACCTAGCCAAAGTGTTTCAGTGAAATCCAGAGGAGAATGAAATCTGTTTAGGAGTGTGCACAAAGCATGTCCACTTGTAAAGATGAATCTCAAGGACATCATTCCATTTCATTTCACTTCCAGCTTCCCCAGCAAGTCAGTGTGAAATCCCCACTGAGTTACCTTTGCCCCGCTAAAAGCTGAGTGAGGAAGATGACAGTACCTTGCAGCGAGAAGGCCACCTTCTCAGCAATCAACCAAATCTCAGCGCTCCATTTGCAGTCACTTCATGAGTTTCAAATCTCTTTCTAACAGAGCACTTTGCCTGTGCTCTAGACTGCTACAAGAGGATGAGCAGGGAATAACTCTGCAAAACTGGCCAGGGCAATCCATAAAGGTGAGCAGGATCAGCATCACTCAGGAATCCCCCAGAAATGAGGCTTGATTGGGTCAAAATTATTTCCCTGCCAAGGCGCACTGCTGAGTATTTGTCTTAGTTAATGAAACAATGGTTGATCTGCAACAAAAGCCACATCCTGACTTTCCTAGCTCTGCAAAGATTTCAACAGCAAAGTAAATCCAGCTTTGCACCAAATGTCAAGTCCTGACTTTATTTTGTCTGCAAAAACATCAATAGCAGCGTAAATCTCACTTTGTCTTCTTTTTTTTTTTCTTTTTTTTTTCCCTTTTTTTTTTTTTTTTAAGGAAAGCTTACTTTGTATCTAATACACAGAAAATGCTCAGGTAAAAATAGGAATGAAATCATTGTTGCTATAAAGAGGAGGGGTGGCATACCTTCCCTGTCCATTAAACTCCAAGCAGTTGGCACCCTATAAATCATAGGAAGCACAGGAATAATTATAGAACTGGAAGCTGATTACTGTAAACATTTAGAAGTAGCTCCTAGTAATTGGAAGCTAAAGATAATGTGAACATGATTACAATCACGAAGGCACTGTGCAGGTCAGTTACACCCCCGTTTTTCTCTATTCCTTAAAACTAGGTTTCCTTACAAAGCAACAAGCAACCTAGTCAATCTAGCACTTTGTATATTAACAACCTGTTAATATGGTGAATGGTTTGTTCTCTGTCAGAATTAGTGTTGATGTGACAACATTCAGATCACCAGGATCTGATTACTTTCCCGTTCTGCATTAAGCAACGTAGCTAACAGCTTCTGCCAGCTTGTTCTGTCATCTCCTGGCACCCCTTCACCACTCCCAGAGGCCCTGCAATATGTTTATGGTGGAAAACGCCTGGTCAAAGAAGGGCAACTTGCACTGAGAGTAGATGATGACAACATGTAAAACAGGTTTGAGTGCCAGGGGTGTTCATTTCCTCACCCTCAGGGCAGTACTGAGAGAAAAATCTGTCTCCTCCACCTTTAACAGAGGAAGCTCCTTGTTGAAGGTGCATCTGCCAGCCACATTGTGCTGGACCATGAAGAAATTTGATTCGTGCCTTAAAGAAGTTACACCACCAGGACAAAT